AGAGTGCTCGATGAAGAAAGAAGGTATCCGAATACTAAGCCCTTTTTCTATGGGTTCGGTAGAATGCAACAAACCTGTTTGAACAACAAGTTTGATACTGCGGTCTGGAGTATACGGAAATACAGAGACGCATCAAACGTTAGTCAAACGGGGTTAGAAGTTTCACTTACATCAGAATGTAACCGGTGTGTGTAAGGGACAAATATGGATACATTTATTTACTTTCCCAAGATGACTAATTTCGCAAATAACAGCGGAGAAACAAGGACGATATAGAGTGAGTAGGGGGTGACAAAGCATCTTTGGTGTGCCTTTCAATAAAGGTAGTCGACGTTCAATTTTTTAGAGAATAAATGTTCTAATTTCGAGCACTAACAATAGAATGCAAGCTAATTATTATAAAAAGGGCAATGGTGACCAGGTTTGATTCACCTACAAAACGAAATCAAAGTGATTAATGTGTATTATCATTTGAATTCCAAGTGTGCTCGGAATTTCATTGCGATGGAACTCTTTGTGATGACTGGCAAAGAGCACAGGACAGTTGTTTCACCGTTTGGGACTCGTCAACAGTGCGGACTTTTTGTGTACCTGTCAGAACTCGAACTGCGAACATTTGGGTCGGGACATCAAACCCTTATCCCTGAGCTATCAATTCGGACGATGAGTGTGTTTGAATCAGCCCATTTTATTTTTTTCGCAGACACCAGCCACCGTTGATAATTTGCATCACATTTAAATGCATCCAACTAGTGGGGAATTAACGATATCCCCAGAAGTGAAACCCAAAGAAAAGCCCATCAAGAGGCTCTGGGGCCTGTGAACAATCGAATGGGCCAAACCAAACTTGATACTCCAAAATTACGGTCGGAATGTGAAGATAAGTATCGTTTAAGGAAACAGCAGAAAACGTGGATTAACACTTCTCAGGATTGAACAGCTTTGTCTCGGATGAACGTTGTATTCGCGTGCGATGACGATTGTCACTTGCGTAGTCGAACAGGGAGAATCTGAACAGGCGGGGGCACGAATGAATGACACAGCCTAAATGACGGGGATGAACAGCGTGGATTTCGATTAACGAGTAAACAATTCCGTCAGAAACGGATAACAAGAGACAAGCCCAGACAGTGAAAGGACTTAATGGAAGGGTAGAAAACGAGTTGTGTGTGTGCGTGTCAAACGTGGACATGAACACTGAACTGCACACTCTGGGTGGACCGATGGTGAGGTAGCAGTTGTCGTGTCCATTAAAACCCAGTCCATCATACACATTATGCATATGTATGTAGAATGAGTAACGGGATGACGGTGAGATTTAGTTGTTCAGATGTGAGCTAAAAAGTGCACCAGCGCATTCAAGACCGACCGATGGCAATGGAAGTCAGTGCAGACACGCGCCAAAACGAGCATATGCAAAATGGATTCTTGTGTGTTTTCCGGTTGAATATTACTCTTGTTTCCGAGTTACCATGTCAACACGACTGACAGCTTGGACAAACTGTCCAGTACAATGAAAGATGCACATTGACGTACGTACGCTTCTGCATGCGTGTGAAACCTAGCCCTCCTCCCTTAACATTACTATCGTGTGAACATACCCAGAATAACCATGGGAATAGGAGGGGGGTGCGAGTGAAACAGTGCGAGGTGGTTTTCATCGAGTTGAGGCCATTGGGACATTGTTTCGTGTACAGCGAAACGACCTCAGAGGCGTGTGTGTAGCGGTTGTCTGTTCGGTCGTCCGTGGACTGAATCTGAACCTGTCGAGTGCCGTTTAACTATGAACTGTACTGTACTGCAGTTTGGTCGAAAACACAAAACCATCCAAATTGAATGGTGTTAGACAGTCACAATACTAAATCAAACAATGATCGAAAATGACATAAAACGGGGGACACGAATTATGCCAAATGACAACCACATATGGAACTGTGACCTTGTGGTGATCGCTCTCCCCGCTGTGTCAAGGCACTGTGAATAGCAGTCCCCCTCCGGATGAAGAAGACGAAAGGCAAGAATTCAGACACCCAAGCAAGAATAATGTTCGTTCTGGACATCGCAAAGAATCAAACATTTGACCAAGTGGCCACAAAATCGATCGTGGTGAGGGTAAAGAAACGAAGAGAGGCGGACGCTGGATGAAATGACTAGTAGTATATAGCACGTCCCGGTTACCAATCGAGAATGTTCATCGTCAGACAGAAAGTGCGAGGAAAGAGTAATGTCTGTTAAGTTTTGGGAGGACACGTTAAGTCACTTCCACCGTTCCGAAAGGTTTCTTACGGGATAAAAACATTTGTATGATAGTAACCGTTTTGTTCGATCTGACAAGTACTGACCTGGATTGTTTGGGACTGTGACACGAGGAATACACATCTCACACTGACCGGGTCTAGTAAAATCGGGTGAAATGAAGTCTGGAAACTATACCTTTTTCAATTTAAAGTGTCCGAATATCAATTTAAGATGTTCAGTTTGAATATCGGTTTGCCGAACCCGCGTAGAAAAATGGTACGTGTATCTTAGACGAGTCAAACGTTGGCTCAGTGTCACCATCGCTTGAACCTTTTTTATTCCGAATTTCCCATAATTGATTCTCCTGTGGTGATTCTCCACCTTGAGCAGCATCGGATTCAGAACTTATCCTCCTCCTCCTATGCCAGCCCGAAAATCACAAGACCGATCGGGTTCATTTATCGACTGGTTGGGTGATTCAGCCGCAACAAGGGACCTGGTGCTTGCCTAGCTAACCTGAACGAGAAGACACATCTTGTTTACAGCCGCGAATCTTTAGCAGGCCCAGTGAACTTCGACTGTACAGCAGGCTTGTATTCACCAGACGGATGGACTGAACAAGAGCATCACNACGATGTGAAACGACGGTACAATCGCACTATCACACTATCAACATAGCAACATGACATCTTAAATTGATGTTGTGATACCTTAACTTGATACACGGACATCTTAAATTGATGCTGTGACATCTTAAATTGAAAAACGTATAGAAAGCGGTTAGTTCATCTGACCAAAGCACATATGACATACGGTACTCCATCCGGACGAACACTGCAGAAAATTCACCCTCTAAGGGAATATTGAACCGAGTTGAAAGAGACGATTGGGACAGATAACTGTGTTCATTATCAACGGATCACATAAAACATACCGTTCAATAAAACTCTCAAATCTCGGCAGATTTTCTATTACCCAACTGGAATAAGCTATATTTAATTGATAGACTAAAATCTCCGATGGCGGTAGTATCCCAGTGGGTCAAATTGCAATCGTAAGAGTGCAACGGAATGGGATTGAAACTTTTAAATTGTAGAAACCTTTTGTATAAAACTCCGTTCTTCGTTACTTTCGAACGTGGCTACAATCCGTTTTACCCATTACTGAAAAATCAACTACGATATATCACTTGTCTTTCGTGTATAACAGCACTTATATGATTCCATCGTAGTTACGTTTACTTCCAGACCTTGATCCCGATATAGAATCGTGCTCGTTTAACTTGTATCTTACGTGCATACTCGCCCCGTGGATGGTTTATGTCTGAACGAAAATATCCTATAACAAGTTCGGGTTAAAATTTAGTTCATCGCATGGATGAGCAATATCATTCGGTTTGATTGACAAGTTTGTTCATTAGTGCACGACAAATCGGCAAAATAAAATTATACATTACCAAAGACAAACGACAGATTGTGAAAAGCTAACTACACATGCGGAATCCAAAGTACTTTGACCTCCATCAAGCGCCCGCCATCAAAAATACAGTACACGGTTCGGTCAGTTTTATTTCGAATTCGAGGACTGGCCGATATTCAAACAGCAAACGTAGTATATGCCGTTGGGTGAGGGCAGAGTCCGATGGGATCAAGTCAACGACTTAGAAAATAACTCGGATAGTACATACAGTAAGAAAAAAACATCCCCTACCTCATTCAAAATGGGTTGATGTGTTCGCGATGAGCCGTTTGTTTCCCTAGGAGTAATGCCACTGAACCCATTGTTTGTATCTGGAGTGATGATACGGGTGGATGGTGCATCCGACACACCGTTAGATCTCTCTGGTTTCTGTTGTGCTTTCCACATTGTTTCTGCTGCCCACGAAGTGTGTGTCAACGCTGCGATAGATGCTGGAGCTTGTGTTGGTGGTGGTCCCATACAGTTTGACTTCAAGTCAGGGTTTGAATTTGTCACGGGAGAAGTGGACACACTGGAATTGGGTGGGGAAATCTCATAAAAAGCTGCACCGTCTGGTGGGAAACGAGGAGAAAGACAGAGTTTGGGCAACTCTGGCCGTGCGATTTCATATTGCGCAACTGTCGTGGTGGTAGTTTCTGTACCGGTTGCCGAATTGCCGACAATAGAAGCTGTGTTCATTACCGATTGCGTAATCGTCTGGGTTTGTGCAGGCTTTTCTGGCACACCAGCTTGACCGGGTGATTTCGATCGGAGCAGGGCGAGTGCTTGTGGGGTATTTAGGAGCATTGTCAAATTCTCATATTTGTGCTTGCGCAGAACCGCACGATCCAGGCTAGATTGTCGACGTTTCACTGAATCCGATTGACAACGGGAAAGGGGAGAGAGAAGTTCTCAATTAATGCGTGATTTGGACGAGGTTAGTGATAACAAAGATAAAAAACAAAGTGTTTGATTAGTAAATAAACGAAATGTACCCGGTTTCCCAAGAGGGAGATCACGTCATCTACCAATATATGGAACACGCATGAACCCGTTCAAGTGAGTAGTATTGAAATAAATGCCCACCAGTTGCTGTGATTAGTAAGATCACAACAACAGGCAGGGAGTTTCTGGTGCTTCTCAAACCCTAAACATGTGGGGGTTGGATGGGGAACTGTTAAGGTAGTTTAACTATGGGGGATAAATGTCGCGTATCTTTTAAAACAAAAAAGACGATCAAGAATTCAATCGGTCTAGCCGTTTGATTTAGCCTAAGGCAAACAAATTTGTAAATGGATTCAATGAATTAGCCCTCAGTTCGAAGTTCAACTTCTCCCATTCAGTGCTGAGTTCAATTCTAACCAACAAGAGAGAATGAAAACACCTATACGGTGTGAAACAAAAAAACATAGTTCCTATATTTAGAGTATCAAGCTTGGATTAGTTCCTATATGTTGATAATAAGGACGCGTGTGCTCAGTGGGATGGTGGGAGAGCTGACGGATTCCATTGCGTCCGTCAAAGTGCAAATACCTGAAGATAGAATGGGGATGGAAACGGGTAATCTGTTCCCCCCAATTGGCACCCAGGTGGTTTAGCAGGCCTCAGAGAACTTATAAACAGAATTCAATGTTTGATTAAAAGTAGTGTGCCTCCCAGGACACATTTCAGTATCGGTATCGTTCCACAAAATTAGATCAAATGTAAGTGACTTGGGGGAATGCAACACAGAAAAATGTGATGAAATATGGTGGATATTGCCTGTGGCTGGGGTGAAAATTAATCACTCACACACGCCGTTCAATCATTCAACATTTTGCCACCAGGAGTTGGAGATTAAATTCGAATAAGCTTATGTCAGACAAACATGACAGCCCGTAAACTGATCACTAATGGAGCAGGCATGTACTGCGTCGGGTGATCAACCGGTTATTGGTAGTGTTTGACAGGGAAATCCGGTGTAATCAGATGGCAATGTACAGAGAAGACCACATACATATGAGCGAGAAATACAACCCAAAGGATGCAATCTGAAAAGCAAAGATTCGCCATGCACCCAATAAACGTTCATCAACAAACAAACAGTAACTAAACGCATCGTAGTTGAGCCCGTGACCAGTGTTCCAGAAAAGGTTGAGCGAAAAAGTGGTGTCAGGAGGACCAATCCCGTGTGACCGGTCGGTACGATTATGGAGTGTACAGATATGGTGGCAAAATATCACTGTTGGACCACCACCGTCCTTGCAGCATATCACAAGCTTACAGGGAGCCAAGTAGAGAAGTACAGTTGAAATTAGACGACGAGCATTTTTTTTAAATTTCTACCTCCTGTTATTCAATGGATTTTGAAACAATTTTCAGGAAAAGGGAAACGGTAAATCAAAAGGATGTCAGGTGAAACTCGCGGTGAGACTCAATTACATGGAGTTCATAGACAACCATGAATGCGGCAAATGTGACGCATTGCACCGAACAGACTTTTTTGCTGTGTCATGTTTTCTGACACGGGGAGTAGTTGAACGAAGATCAAGGATGACCAAATCATGACCTATTGCTAGGAAATGAGAACCTAAATCAGTGGATTTGTTCGCGTATTTCGTGTCCTGCTTCTCGACTATAGTCCTAGTGTGATGGAAGGTGGTACAAAGAGAGTCCCGGCAAGCGAACGAATCAAGAATAGGGCCGATCCAACCAGGTGCGCAGACGTAGCGGCTGGAAGTACTTCACGAGACAATGTCAACTACCACTCGAAACGAACGAATCGACAATTACAGCCCGACGGACAATCCGCATCTAGCCAGAAAGATATCCGCCGAATATCACAACGTCGGAGCTGTCGATCAACGCATCTCGCGCTACGATCGGGTCAAACCAGTCGGAACGGCACGCGGAAGAGGAAACGTACGTGCTAAGTGCGGACCAAAACCAACAGGAATGGAACAACAGAATGAGGCATGAATCATCCTGCCGCGCGGTTGAGAATTTATTGTATATAATCCAACGCTCACACCAGTTGTTTTTGAATTGGATCAATAAACGTTTTGCCAGCCGACTCGCCTTCTCGTTAAACTAGATATCAGTGATTATAGACTGCGTGTGACCGAGTGCGGTGAATAGTGATGCTCGGGCGTCGTCGTCGTCCCACAATCTTGCGCATTAGATTTCTTCCCATTCCATTCTTCGGTTTTACCAGTTTTTTCACAGATTCACTAGATGGGCTTTCGAGATGTAGTAATCAAAACCCGAGTGTATTCATCCGTTGCACCAAATGAACACAGAGACAATAGGGATTTGTGATATGGAGTAGACAGTGAAATACACTTCTGGCCAGCACCGACACCTATGGCTTTTGTCAAGATCAACTTTATCAATCGGCGACTAAGTCTCTAGATGACGACTGGGTTTGCGAAGCATCTGAAAGCTTGCCAGACTGATGGGCATAACCAAATCAAGCACGTAAACCAACAATAGTTCGGTGGGTGTTGACAAAGTATTGAAAATCGGTTCTCGTAGCTCGGGTGAACTGAATTCT